TATTACATTACTTAGAAACCGAAAATTGAAAGAATAAAAATAAAATAAGCAAAAAAAAAATATTCATCCAAATAAATAAAGTAAATAACAAACAAATTAACAAAATACTCACGTCAAAATAACCGTTAGATTAGACTACCCGCAAGGCAATAATCTACAGACAATGCACCAGTGACTCGTATATATAGTCAACAAGGCATGTGGTCTGATGATTGCAATTAGCATGAAACAGTCAGTTGACTCTTAGTGTTGACTGCAATGTTCACTTTTATATTTACATACGCTCTATCTCTGATATTGATCACGTTATCCCATAAATGTAGCATACCTTAAAACTATATACACACACACACACACACACACACACACACACACACACACACACACACACACATATATATATATATATATATATATATATATATATATATATATATATATATTAATAAAAACAGACCACTATAAGATTCCATGTAATAAGTTATTTTACGACAGCCCTTTTAAAGGGCCCTGGATCATCAGACTTTACTTCCAAAGGTTGAAATGAAAAATGAAAAGAAATTTACACATTTTTGACGGGCCGTATTAAGCATATGTAAAATTAACGAAGTGAGGAAGGAGAGAGAGAAGATATGAGTGAGTTAGATGTACCATTTCAATTCTTTATCTCTAACCCCACTTGGTGTGGGTCAGACATCGCTCAACTTAACTTATGTTATCTCTAGATATGGATGGGTAGGGGTGAAGAAGAAAACCGACGTAAAAGGAAGAAGCTACAATAAAATAAAGAAAAGGTTTCACTCAATTTCTTGGATGCTGTTATTTCGCATTACTTTAAAGGGTATATTTGGGGGTTAAAGTTTGATATCAATCTAAATGTCTACAAAATCTACGAAGAATTTAATTTGCTGTATGTTGGAGTTTTGGGTATTTTATATGAAATAGTCGATTGGAAAAAATTCATAGAATGTATGTTGAAAGAATAATTCATTTTCCATCTAGTAATCTTTTTTTATTATTTTCCTAAACCTTTTTCTTGTTGATTATGAAGTTGACATCTATTCGTTTGAGCTTTGTTCATAAACTAAACTCGGGACTCTTTTTAGATACCTACATAATTATCAAAGATTATTCCAATTTAAATAATTTTAACATCAATAATGATTATTAAAGGGTAATATATTTCGATTTAAATTAAATTATGAATTTAAACTTTACCTCCGTATCATTTAAACTCACTTCCAATTGGAGAATATTAGAGGAGAAAATTTGGGTAAAACATTACAAACAGAAAATTAGGTCCTTCTTTTATAATATTCTATATATCCATACACATACAGACATCTACACATATCCGAACACCTATCTATATCCACATACATACATATCCCTATATAAGTATAAATCCATATATACACATACCCACACAAAACTATATGTATATACCCATACATACATATATACACCTGTAGAAAAACACATACACACATATATACATACGTATCGACACATACACATATATACCTACATATGTAAACAAATATATGGATACCTACATATATACACATATATATAATTATATAATTATATATATATATATATATATATATATATATATACACATGCAACTACTATACATGCACATCTATACATATATACATATTCACGTACACACACGTATACATATACACACACACACACACACACACACACACACACACACACACATATATATATATATATATATATATATATACACACACACATACACCCACATTTGTATGCATTCAAAGGACATATCAATATCAATACGTCATTACATTATGAATACACAAATTCCTATAATGATACATATATATATATATATATATATATATATATATATATATATATATATATATATATATTACCCGCCATCCCATGACTATGGCAAGACATATAAGTACCCATCTAATTTTACACATCCACACTCACATATACATAAAAAACCCTGCATGCCTCTCTTTTCATATAGAAACATATACATGTACATATTAAAAGACGTATCAGTGTTCAAGTACAATACCATACCTATATAAATACAGACATGTGTCTGTGTTCATGCGTGCATAGCAACATTTCCAAAAGCAAAAAGAACAAAGGTCATTAAATCTTATTCTTCCTATATGGTTATTTCTCAATGTATTTTCTGAGGTTTAGTTTGTTCTTATGTCGGCATTTAAAAATTAGTTCATTGTGTCTATTTAGTAACAAATCTGGATCTTTATGTTTGATCATGAGGAGTTTTTCTTGTATGCATAAGTCGCATCTGTCTGAAATTTTTTGGTGTTTTGGTTCTCGAGACTATTTTCCATTTTATTTGTGGGGTTAAGCCGCCCTCCAACAAATCCCAATAATGCTTTGACAGTGCCGTTTAGTTCTTTTTACATTTATTTTTGAAGGACTGGCGATGGTTATATATATATATATATATATATATATATATATATATATAAAAAGAAGTGAAGAGAGGTGACGCAAACGTTTTTGGTTGTAATGTGGATTTATTTAGAAAAAATATTATGCTTTGTTTCACATGATTTTACGACACGCGTTTCTGGTCTCGCGACCGTCTTCAGGTAAAAGTGGAGATTTCCACATATTATTAAAAATAATTAATTTTTCTTCATGTTCAATGTGAAATATTCTCGAATTGAGACATTCTCTGTTTGTGTGTTGGTAATCCGAATTTCTTTCTTGAATTGTCAATGAAGAGTTCTGCGCATTTTATCTTTTAATGTTTTAGTGACCCCTATGTGCTCTTGGATCTGTTTCCATTTTGGTGTGTTCCTGTCAGCATGCGTGTATATATGCGTGCGTATATTTCCCCTCCATACATATACTGTCTTACTCCGAGGAATTCGTAAACTTATTTGTACCTATACACGCATACACACACATACGCACATACGCATGTCACTGAGCTCATTGATGTTAGCTTCAGCATCCCGACTCCAGAGGTACGTAGACAGATTCTCCTGCGTTTTCTCCGTCCATGCATCGGGAGTATCACCAATTGACTGCTTATATATACGCCTGCCCATGCGCCCGTCTGCGCATATGTGCTTACGTGTAGAATGTCGTGGTTATTTGTCCGTTTCGTCGTTTTTGTTTACTTTACACTTATTCCTTAACATTTTATCACTTTTGCTCTTTTTACTTTATTTCCTTTCATTTTCTTTTCAGTTATATCGTCAAAGTCGACCACTTTTATAATATTTGTAAACACAATTAATTTGTCGATTTTAAAAATCTTCCAAAACTATTGTATAATTTTCTGAAAATTTATTCGAGGAATAATAGCTGATTTGAAGTATATTTACTCTGATTTGAGACAATACATTATTTGCTTTAAATTTAAAACATTGCCAAAATGATTTTTTTAAACAAACAGTAGCTGTCATTTCGGCCGGCAGTAAACGTCGAAATTGAATCGTGTGGTGTAAAGTGTGATAATGAAAGTTATGTGGACTTTTAAAAAGTATTTTTTTCATTTTTCTTTTTGAAAAAGTAAACTCTCTCTCTCTCTATATATATATATATATATATATATATATATATAGATAGATAGATAGATAGATAGATAGATAGATAGATATAGATATGTGGCAAACGAAATTATCAACCGAATCGATAAAACTTCAAAAGGCAACAATGAAACGTAATTCTTCATATCTTAATCCTAATCGTGAAAAATCCCTACATACGTGTGAACTTCGTGGTATTCTCGTAGTGCAAAGACCCTTGATGCTAACGCTTTGATTCACTGCCCACCCTTCTTCCGCTCTATATGTTCAGTGCCTGGTGAAGGCTATTCTGTTCGCCGAACAAGCTAAGATAACCAACTCCTCGAAACTGCAATAAATCCCAATTCGACCGGATTGATTCGACTTCTAAAGGCGCTGACATTTCTGCCAATTACGCCGTATTATTGCATACTTGAAGCGTTGGCGTTGTGGACGTTCATGCGATGACATTTTCTTTCGCTTGGTCAATTACGCTAGATAAATACCTTAAATACTCTACCTTATGTAATTCCTCAGGGCGAAATCTCAACACTTTTCATCATCATTTTTTTTCAACTGTTTACCGCCTTTCTTCTTACTCTCTCATATATATATATATATATATATATATATATATATATATATATATATATATACTTTATCTCGTAAAGTCGTAAAAGTTATTATACCTCGTTTTCGTCCTTTACGTTTTCTTTTCTCTTCTTTCTTTCTTTCTTTCTTTCTTTCCTTTCCTTTCCTTTCCTTTCCAATATCATTCTCTATTTTCTGATTTATTTCTTCATCTTCTTTTTTTTCTTATCGATTCCTTTTTTTCTTGTTATACATATTTTCTATGTCTTCCTATGTTTTCGCTTTTTTCTGTCGCCCATTCATTATTTCATGCTTGCTTTTGAATTATAACTATCTCTTCGACATTAATTTCATAATACTATGGTTTCTTTCTTACTTTCGTTAGTTTCTGCATGTTCTTCTTTTTTTCTTTCTTTTTTTTTCTTTCTGTGATTCATTCTTTCGTTTTTCTGCGTTTTCATTCATTTGTATTTTTTTAATTATTAATTTATCTTTCTTTTTTTCTTTGTTTCTTTCGTTCAGTACCTCTTTATTTTGAAGTATAATTCTGATTATTTTCTCTTATTCATTATTTTTCTAGAACCTTTGTATTCTTTCTTTCTTTGTTTCTTTCTTTCTTTCTATGATTTTTTTTCTTTCGTTTATCTGTTTTTTGATTCGTTTGATTCTTTTCCTTTATTTTTCTTTCTTTCTTTCTTTCGTATTTATTTCTGTCGTTCCTGCTGTTTTCTTTCTTTCTTTTGCTTTTTTCTATCCTCCATTTTATCTTTCATTCTGCTTTACTTTCTCTCGGCATTTCATTTTTTTGTTCATTCTCTTTCGTTTTTGCTAATTATTTTTCTCGTTCTTTCTTTGGAAATATAATTCTGATTACATTTTTTTTTCCTTTCTTTCCTTGATACGCTTTGTTTGTTTCTTTCTTTCTTTGTTTCTTTCTTTCTATCAACCATTCTTCCTTTCTTTCTTTGGAAATATAACTCTTTTATCATTATTTCCTTTTTCCCTCATCATACTCTTTCTTTCTTTTTTCCTTTTTTCTTCTTTTTATCATTATTTTTGTATTTGGAAATAAAATCATAATTTATGTCTTTTCTTTTCTTACCCCAATACGCTTGATTATCTTTCTTTCTTTCTTTCTTTCTTTCTTTCTTTCTTTCTTTCTTTCTTTCGTTGCTCCTGATTGAAACATTTCTCTTCTTCTTCAGCTTCGAATATTTTTCTTACATCAATGACCGATCAGTAAAATTATTTTGATTGTAATGTTGAAGGACATCCATTTAGAAGGCGATTTCAACAATACAATGGTAATCTGGCTATCAATGCTTTTCAAGTTCCATAAAAAGAATAAATCTTACTTATATTTATTTATTATATATTCAATGTTTTTATCTAACACGTAGCCAGTTGTGCTTGCCCGCCAATGTAAATAAGGGCAAAATCGATTGTACACAGTTTTCAATAGAGGAACGCATAAACATTTCGTAAAAATATCCATATATACGCACGCTTGCAGGAGTTGTTTATTTGTGAACGGATTTTTTTCAGATGGAAAGAATAAGAAACACAAGAAGCACAAAAGAATCCACATGATGTTATTTACACAAATATTTCTTGAACAAACATATAATTATATAAGTCTAATGTTTTTTGTCTCTTTATCAGATATTTAGTCGATAAATAGACCTTAAGCAAGAGACTTAAGACAAGTACACCCATATATATATATATATATATATATATATATATATATATATATATGTGTGTGTGATTTTTGTATATATTATGTCTATATTCTATATGCGCAGTACTTATTGGAAAGCGCTCAATATCAATACAAATTAACATATTTAGACAAACTCACATTAATCCCAATAATATATATATATATATATATATATATATATATATATATATATATACAAATAGATAAATAGATAGATAGATAGATAGATAGATAGACAGATAGATAGATAGATAGATAGATAGATAGATAGATTTCTGATATAACTAAAAATGCATCTGTAATGGGACAATATGAATAAACATGTTTTCCAATTGTCTTTAATCAACTATCTATCTATCTATCTATCTATCTATCTATCTATCTATCTATCTGTGTGGTGGGATGGGTGTAAATAATCATGGAAACACTATCTGCAAAGTAATCTTCGGTAATACAAATATAATCCACAAATAAATATGCTAAAAATAATCGAATCATTCTTAATAATAAAAAAAAGGAAAAAAAATCCAACACTCAATAATATCATCTATGAACACGGCCACAATGTGCTGATCATGTTTGGCAAATAAAACATTCCTATATCTCTAGGTACATGCACCAATCAATCCATATATTAAGTTAAAATTAAAAATAATTCCATACTTGATGATGGATAAATCTATAGCCGAAAACGCTCGGACATACAAAACATTAAGACATTTTTATATGTAATTTCCAGAAGATATTATAAGCTCATATTAACTACAGTATATTGTCAGTCGTTTTTAATAAATTGATTTCTATCTAAATACAAAATTATATATATATATAGATATATATATAAAGACAACTGACAGTAGTACTGCGATATTTATTCACCTTATTTTACATTCGTAAGATTTCTTTTCTGGACATACTGCACATGCAAATATTTCAACTTTTTTACCTCCCTTTACGTCCAGAAAGGAAATACTTGTACTAATGCAAGAATAATATTTTCTTTAATAAAATCAAATAGGTTAACCTATCGTACGGTTCACTCTCCCCCCGGTTGTGAACAGGAGTAGATATCTAGTTTGTGTTTCCTCTTTAGGATTGGGTTTCCGATGCATACTAATATCTTTTTTTATTCGGTTACGCTTGTTAAATAATAGTTTAGCTATTATTTTTTAGTGAAGTTTTATTTCTGCTCTAACTTCATCAGTTTGTCTTTATGGATCAGACACAAGACAAAATAAAGGAAGTCGAATTTGATTGGCTGAACTTGAGAGGGAATGATAGATTAAGATTTTTGGGGAGTTGGTTCTTACACGTCGAACAATGTAGACGTGTTTCTTTCGTTTCTGGAAACTGCTCCCCAGTGGAGTGGGAGAGTACCACTACTGGCTAGTAACAAATGTACACGTCGGCTGGTTTAATACAATAGTTAAGTTAAAATTCCCTTTTCGTGAGTTCTTTTATCTTAGAACAAAAACGACTAGAGATCATTGACCGGAAGGTGGCAATAAAGTGAGAGAAATTACAAAATATGAGTTAATCGACGCCGTCGAACAAGACCACCGACACGGGGTGAATTGATTACAAGAAAGACTCGGAAATAAAACTACCATAATGTTGAGACGCGGTAAAAGAAACGAACCAGAAGAAATCATTATCCATTAACTGTATAAAGAGTGAACGAATGTTTGTTTGCAAGAGAAACAATGCAAATTAGGAACAACATGCTGACCGAGAAGGGACAATTGAACACAGCCAACTCAACACCGCCAACTCAACACCGCCAACTCAACACCGCCAACTCAACTACTCCGATTGAACACCGCCAACTCAACTCCGCTGATTGAACATCGCCGACTCAACACCGCTGATTGAACACCGCCAATTCAACTCCGCTGATTTAACACCGCCAACTCAACACCGCTGGTTGAACATCGCCAAATCAACTCCGCCGATTGAACACCGCCAACTCAACTCCGCCGATTGAACACCGCCGACTCAACTCCGCCGGTTGAACACCGTCAACTCAACTCCGCTGATTGAAAATCGTCGAATCAACTCCGCTGATTGAACATCGCCAACTCAACTCCGCCGATTGAACACCGCCAACTCAACACCGCTGGTTGAACACCGTCAACTCAACTTCGCCGATTGAACACCGTCAATTCAACTCCGCCGATTGAACATCGCCAACTCAACTCCGCCGATTGAACATCGCCAACTCAAATCCGCCGATTGAACACCACCAACTCTTCACCGCTGGGTGAACACCGTCAACTCAACTCCACTGATTGAACATCGCCAACTCAACTCCACTGATTGAACACCGTCAACTCAACTCCACTGATTGAACACCGTCAACTCAACTCCGCCGATTGACCACCGCCAACTCAAGTCCGTTGATTGAACACCCCCGACTCAACTCCGCCGATTGAACACCGCGAACTCAACTCCGCTTATTGAAAATCGCCGACTTGTGGCACCATGCATAGTTAGAAAGCTGAAAAGAAATATTCATAAATATATGATTTGTTTTTTACGGTTTGTCAACCATTTGATAATTATTTAAGGCTGAAAAATATTTCGGGGTTAGGAATAATTCTTTCTTTACATTCAAGCGATCTGGGAGAAAGAAATAAAAGAAGAAAAGGAAAGAAAAAAGAAAAATATAATACGAAAACCAGGTCATAGGCGAACAAACACACGCTAGATTGATACATAACAGATGTTGGAAGATATCCCGGTCAAGCACCTGACCTACTTCCGTGTCCACGAAAAATAGAAGTTTGTTATCAATTTGGTTGAAGAAATAAAGTTTAGAGACAATGGAAAAAAATATGATAGGTAACAGGTGGGAAGTTTATCTAAGGATATACAGGCAAACCATTAATACGAAAACCCAGACAATTCCAGAATTGAAAATAAAGCCACACAAGATGATGTTAGAAAATGCTTTTTTTGAGATAATTAAGATTTTTGTTATCAAGCTTCGAGCGAAAGAAAAAAAGTGAAATATTTTTATTAGTTCACGAAAACGCCACCCAGTCTGGGAAATCCCTTTCTTAGATCGTATCCAATTAGCGATAAACTGTTTGACAAATACCGCGTGTAAAAGAAACAGAGAGCGTCATTTCGGTCACGTACGAAAAGGGCAATTTAAATTTTTGTTTCTTTAAGCAAGGTGTTTCTTCCCCCAGAAAAAAGCCACGGATTGTCCACGCCCGATTAAAGACTTCACGAAGGAAGGAGGAAAGATACCGACCAGAGCCTCATTGGCCGAAGGCGATCACATGATACATGAAAGAGGGGGAAATACACCCGACCAGGATCCCATTGGCCGAGAGCGGTCACATGACGTGCGAGGGAGGAGGAAAGATACCCGACCAGGACCCCATTGGCCGAGAGCGGTCACATGACATACGAAGGAGCGGGGAAGCGGGTATACGCCCCCAGAGGCACAGTAAGGAAGTAGGAGTGAAAGTAAGTTACCGAAAATGGAAAATCCCTAATCAGAAATAATACGTATTTAGAATTATCAAAAGAGAATCCCCGACGCCAAACAGATCCACCCCAGTTTTGACTGCGTCAATAAAAGCGGGACCCCAACCGACAGAAATCAGAGTTGCGCCGCGGACGGCGAGGGAGTTTGAGCGCGGACGGCGGGCCCGGTTCATTCGCCCCTTTGCGGGCAAGAGAGGCCAGCTCGTGAAGCCGAAGAGAAGAAGTTAATTCGCGCACTGACGGCGGAGATGAGTGAACAATAATTCAGACTCTGAAGAGAAGAAGTTAGAGTTTTTTTGCGCCGCGGACGGCGAGGGAGATCAGCCGTGAACGACAAGCAGAGATGAGCGCCCCGTGTTGAAACAAAACCACACCCCGAAATGCAAATTTCTAGAGAGCAGGCAACTCGAAGCCTTAAAGTTGCCTGGTAGAAGCGTGTTGCCACAGTCCACAGAACGGGTCGGGAGGTAGGAATAATCTTGTGTAACAAGCAATTAGATATAAAAAAGTTGTTACCTTTTTCTTCAATATTTTTGATCTTGTGAGTTTTTATTTTTCTTGTGTGTTATCACCCCCGTTGGACTCAGCTTGCATACGGCCCAATCCCTGTTTGATCCCGTCTGTCTAAGATCTAATCACAACG